GAGAGAGAGAGAGAGAGAGAGAGAGAGAGAGAGAGAGAGAGAGAGACCCCCTCATATCCTGTGCAATTCACATCAATGCTTTTCAGTAAATCCTTTAGTAAGGATCCACCCAAAGCACTGAACCTCTTCCTCTGGTGATGTTCAATGCCCAAGAAAACTACAGAATTAAAAAACAACAACAACAACAACAAAGCATTGAATTTAAAATACCCCCATTTGATGGCATGGAAGACAGAAATGTTGTTGAAGTTTAACTAATTCTACCCAAATAATATCCATCAAGTTGCCTGCCTTCCCATATCCTTTATGATTTTCCTGTCCTCATCTCCATTTGTTCAATATTCATTTTCATCCATTTCTGTGGGCAATGTGGATGAAGAAAAGCCATTCTCAGGTACAGGCTTTCCATAGTGTCTTTCCTCTAAGAGTGACCGTGGGGCCAGCACAAAGCGTGTTTCAAAATACTCTAAGGATTCCCCGTCTTCTTTCTCCATCAGGAACTGGTATTCTCCAAACCGCACGATGCACCTGCCTGGAAGGTCCATTTTATTGAGATAGCCGAGTTCTATGTTGCCCACAAGCAGACTGGTTTTCTTACTCAGGTTTTTAATTTCAAATGAGAGGACTGAACTGTTGAATTGTTTAAATGGCTGCAAAGAGAACTGAACTCTGGAGACTTGTTTGTCTTGAAAGGTATAATGACACAGGTTGGGACTCCGGCCAAACTTTATCACTTCCATGGATGACAGCCGTTCTCGATTGAAAAACCTCAGCGTTTGAAACACCTGATTATGCTCTTGGTTTGGATGATAGACAGTAACTTGGAAACAAGTGAGTGTCTCCTCAGTGTCAGCATCCTCAAAGCCAGACATGGCGGGCATCAGACAGAGACCTGCCAGCAACGAGTGAATCACAAAGTTAGTGTATCACCAAATATGAGTGCAAGACATCTCCCATAAGAACTAAAATAAATTCTTCACATAGGAAGGTGATGTCTAAGATGAAATTAATTTTGTTGAAAATTTTCTCATAAAAGATTTGAGTTCAAAGTCAATGTTACGTATACAGCATACTCTTGATTAAATTTAGTTGCTTAGTAAAATAAAGCCCTTACCTCAGGGTCCTGTAAAGAATAAAACCAATTCAATTCAACAAGAGAAGTCCCAGCGACACAAAGACAAAAATCAAAGCACCTGGTTAGGGTAAAATTTTAGGAGATGGAACTTAAGCTGAGCCTTGGAGGGACCTAGGGATTCCAAGAGGCATAAGCAAATCTCTTTGACACCAATAACGTAAGCAATAGAATGGTATATCATTCAGGGATGCAGGGTACCTAATCAGGCAGCCGGCTGGTGCAATAGATAGAGTTACAGGCCTGAAGTCAGGAAGAGTCATCTTCCTGAGTTGAAATCTAGCTTTAGAATCCAGCTGCGTTACCCTAGACAAGTCACTTAACTTTGTTTGCCTGTTTCCTTATTTGTAAAATGAGCTGGAGAAGAAAATGGCAAACCTGTCTAGTATCTTTGTCAAGAAAACTTCAAATGGGGTTACAAAGAGTCAGACAACTGAAAACAACTGAACAACAAAGGCCTAATTGTTTTAAAGATAGAAAATTTAAGCTACTTTTTGAAAAGGAAGAAAAAAAATAGCTTCCCTTATTCAACCTAATACCCATGAAAAAATCTTAAAGGAATTTCACTTAATAACTGAAGAACTTGAAGATCAGAGAGCATTTTCTAAATCTTGACATAATTCTAGGAGCCCATTAAGTTCTTAGATTATGTTGACAGGCTTCAGAATGCTGAATTCTCAATCTCTTCAAGTCAACTTCCTCTTCTTAGCCAGAGACTGTGGACTATAGGTGCAAAATGAGGTATACTCTCTTAGGCATGGCCAATGTGCTACACTAATTTGTTCAACTGCTCTTCTTTACTACAAAGAAGGGTTTTATTTTCAGATATGCAGGTCATTGGGAAGTGGCCGGGGGATAGTGATTAAAGTGTCAACAAAACATTTATAGGGATAGGTACCAGACCTGTGATTTTATTGGTATTGAGTAACTCCCACTACCAATACAGGTCAGAACCGTATGAGAATCACCTAGACAGAAAGGTGAAATGGTCAACATAGCCAGAAATATATCAGAGGTAAGACTTGAACCCAGGTTGTCCTGGCTTCGAGGCCACCCTCTATCCACGACACAATGCTGCCTCTAATGAAAAAACAAAAAATTGAAAGAAAGAAAAAATAAAAATAAATAATAAAAGGCATTGAAGAGAAGGAAAATGTAAGTTTTTTTTTTACTAGAATTGTAATAGAATACTAGAGTTATCTCTATCAATTATTTCTGATGAATTAACAGCCAGAAAAATTATCACTAACCACAAGTACCACAAATTAACTGTTAACATTAACATCCTCATGCTGTTAATATCCCCATCTCCCCAAGGCATGTGTTATGTTCTGTTTTCTCTTCTTGATCACTGGTGTATAAAAAGTAACATAACAGAATTGGAGGTACTGCTAGAGATGACTTCTCAAGTCTTCATTTTACATATGTATAACTGTCATTTATTTTTCAATTGTGATTTTTTTCAAAAGTTATTTAACCTCTGTGGACCTCGGTTTCTCATTTGCTGGCCTCCTGGTTCCCTTTCTGAATCAATGATCTTATGATCTTGACCTATTATGCAGAGTTATGCAAGTATAACTGAAAAAGAAAAGATTTAAAAACTCATTAAATTTTTAATTGTCTGTGCTAATGAAAATACTTAGTAATACAGCTAATCCAAAGTTCCCTTTTGCTTAAAGGGCATATTGCTTGGTGTTCAAAAAGAAAATTATCTTCATTCAATTTAATATTTATTAAGCACTTATCATGGATAAGACACAGTAATAATATAAATTTAATTATGTTTTACTTGGATCAATAAAGCATTTTCATGAATTCCCTGACTGTAGCAAACTAATGGGCAGCTTAAAATCCAAAAAGGGAGATTCATCTCAAAATACGAATAAAAATTGGCAAATGAAAGCTAAAACAAACAAACAAAAAAAACCAAATCAACCAATAAGCCTTTGTTAGGTACTTTTTATGAGGCAAAGGACTACAAATATAAGAGTGACCTAGTGCCTACCCTCAAGGAGTTTACATTCTATAAGATGAGGTTAGTGAATTTATCATAAATCTTATTTGGAGAGAACTTTCTTATGAGAATACTCCTTAATCAGGAATTGGTCTCCTTTAAATGTCAATGATAAATTATGACCTTGGAAACCGAAACCTGAGCCCACAGAATGACAAAAAGGTCTGATGACCAGGTAAGATTTTTCAAAAGGGAAGATAGAAAAGTAATAATTGTCAGTCTGTTGTCATACCTGAGATGATGCTTTGATTCAAGATGGCCTTGGTAGAATTCTTAGAGTTAGGAGAGACCCTAAAGGAAATCTATTACAGTCCCTTTATTTTATAGATGGTAAAACTAAGGCCTTAGGATATTAGGTGACAATATAGTACTTCTGCTCTGAATCCAGAGGATGTGTGACAAAATACCACCACTATCATTTGCAGCCTGTGTGCCCCTAAAGAGCTTAAGACTTTTAATCTCTTTGGGCCTCAGTCTCTTCAATGATAAACTGAGAAGGTTGGATCTGATGAGCTCCAGGGTACATTTAGCTCTAAGTCTATAAACCTATGACATAGCCTCTGACTCCAAGTTCAATGGCCCTTTCCACTACAAGACAGCTGTCTCCCATGGCTCTACCAAGACAGACCCCACTCGGTAAGACCCAGATTAACGGGCCAGCTACCTGTACTACCAATATGTTAGGGAAAGCCACCATAACAACAATGGATTTGGAATCAGAGGATCAGATTCAAGTCTCACCTCAATCACTTAACAGCTGTGTTCACTTAGGCAAGTCAATTAACTTCTAAGCCTCAGTTTCCTCATTTGCAAAATAGGCATAACCAACTGACCCCTCGTGGGTGCTGTGAGCATAAAATCAGACAATATAGGTAAAGACTTATTCAAGTGTGAATTATTGTCGTTACTGTTATTACAATGTTTGACAGAGGGAGGAAAAGTCTACTGAGGCATAAAGAAGTTGCCATCTGTACATGGGTAGAACAATGAAACCAGAGATCCTTTAAGTATTCAATTAATTATTACAACAACATCCTACACCTAGATTGTGGAGAAAGGGAGGCTAGGGGTGCCCTTGGCCTCTCGTAATCCATAAAAGCAGTGTGTTCAAAATTGACTGAAATAGGCATGGTGATAAAGCATCACTCCCTGGCCTTATCAACCTAAGAAAGTACAGGTAGAAATGTCACCTACTGAAGTAGCCTACTAGTGTGATTTTTAACATTTTTCCTTTAATTTTGAAGGCACAGAGAATTAATATTAGCCCAATATGGCATATAGTGATACACTGAAAAGATATATTTAATGGCCGCTTAAAGCCCAGTTTGGGAGTGAGGAAGACCAGGGCTCAAGTTGTGATTCTAACATACAGTAGCTCTATGAGCTTGGACCAGTCACCAAACTTTTCAGTTGTCCAGGTGACTCTCTGAGACAGATATTTTAACCATTTGTGTCATGGACCTTTTTGGGAGTCTGGTGAAGCCTACGGGACCCTATCTCAGAATGAGGGTTTGTTGCCTACATTCGTTCTTGAAGGAAATGCTAAATTTCAGTTATAAGTTAGTGAAAATAAAGATGTCATTTTTTCCCATCCAAGTTCATCAATCCTCTGAAATCTGACTCCTTGGAAGTCGATGAATTCCAGATTAAGAAATCCTACTTTAAGACCACATTCTGCCATGTGAGGCAGAACAAGAGCTGACCTGCATTGGTAGAGGGAGTTCCCCACACAGGACAGAGTTTAGAAAATTGTTGTGCCTTCTTTACTGACCATAGCCCTTTATTCATTCAGTCACTTAATATTTACTGAGTGCCTACTATATGCAAAATATTGATTAAGACATGATCCTCAAGGAGCTTAAATTATTTGTTTCTTCTTTCCATCTAACCACAGTGGTACTGCTAAACAAAGATGTGAATCTCTGGTATTTCATTTATAGTGGTCAGGAGTAAATGGGAAAACAATAGTATGAAATTAAAATTGGCAGTCAACAAACATGGATTAAATGCTCACTTTGGCAGGGCTTACTCCTGACGTACCCCTGGCTCAGTTACTAAATTTTTCAAATAAATATGATTACCTACTATGACAGTTTACAGCAGGAAAAGATGTTGGTCCATGTGAAGGGAATTATGATTTTCATAATAATCAATGATATATATTCAATATGCTAATAATTTCGATTTTCCAGAATTGCCTCTTCTTCTAACTTGTGAGTCAGAAGCTCACAATGCAGCTTGAAATGATTAATCCAACCCTTGGAAATACAATCACTGCATTCTTGTGCCTGTGTACCTTAAGTGAAGCAAGTCAAAGTCTGTAAAACCTGCTCCCGTTACAGATCTCTGGTCCTGTGACCTACCAAGCAGTGACTGGAAGGACCTGAAACAATGCTGTTCCCACAGAACCTCAGGACACCTGTTACCTTAGTGACTGTGGAACTTGTGGGCTTGTGGCAACTCAGGCCTTGGGAAAGGATTGTTAGTAATCCACCTTCCCCATCTCCCTTCCCGTTGTGATGTATGTATATGTGTGTGTATGTGTATATGTATATATGTGTGTATATGTATATGTGCGTATTGCATGTGCATTTTACGTGTCTGTATATACATGTGTGTATGTATATGCATATGTGTGTATATGTGTATGTATGTGTGCGTGTGTATGTATATGTGTATATAAGTAGTGTATATGTATGTGTGTGTGCATATGTATATGTGTGTATGTGCATGTATGCGCGTGTATGTATATACGCACGTATGTGTATATGTATGTGTATTGTATACATGTATATGTGCATGTGTATTGTGTGTATGTGTGTATATGCATATGCACATATATATGCATATGTACATGTATATGTGTGTACATAGATATGTGTGTATTTGTATACATGTAAATGTATATATGCATATGTGTATATGTATAGTGTGTATATGTATGTGTGCGTGTGTGTATATAGGTATATGTGTATGTGTATATGTGTGTATTTGTATACATGTAAATGTATATATGCATATGTGTATATGTACAGTGTGTATATGTATATATGCATATGTGTGTATATAGGTATATTTGTATGTGTACATATGTATTGTATTGTATATATGTATGTGTGTATATGTATATGTGTATGTATGTGTATGTGTATATGCATACGTATGTATATGTGTGTATATCTGTACATATGTAAATGTATATGTGTATGTGTATACGTGTATATGTGTGTATGTATAAGTGTACATATGTATATGTATATATCTGTGTATATATGTATATATATAAAATCTCTGCCTACACTATAGCAAGGTGGAATTCCGATCAGGAGAATTCCCGATTTGCAAATCTGTTCCTCATAATGAAACCAATTAAGTAAACAATACTTAATTACTGTTACTTTGTCTCTAGCCTGATGTTTCTACATTCTCAGGTTAGAGATTGGCTCAGTAAAACCCGTTAACAGTTCTTCATAAAAGTACACCACACAAAAGGATGCTCTCTGATTTCCAAGAGGCCAAATGGAATTGATGTAAACTTGGAAAACTAAAACCTTAAGAAGAGGGAAAACAAAACAAACAAAAAAACCCACCAACCTGAAAATGCCATGGAGGCAGAAAACCATATCTCTGTTAACAAAGAAGATGGATTACAGTATAACACACTTTATTATCAGAAATCCCCAAAGATCATATGGTCAGAGGTCCAGAGCCGGAAGGGACCTCCGAGCCCATCCTGTCAAACAGGGAAACTGAGGCCAAAGAAGGCTTAGGAGTAGCTATATGGCATGGTGGATAGAATGCTAGAATTGGAGTATGGAACACCTGAGTTCTAATCATGCCTCAGGAACTCTAGCTACGTGATCGTGGGCAAATCAATTAACCTGTCTCAGCTTCAGTTTCCTCACCTGTAAAATGAGAGGGGGTTGGACTTGTGGCTCTAAATCTGTGTTCCTATAGATGACTTGCCCAAAAGTGGCAGAACAAAGATTCGAACTCTGCTCCTGTGACTTCTAAGTACAGCAACATGGTGCTTCCCTGGAAGCCAAAATTGGGCTGGGAGGAAAAGGAAATAGGGGTGCATTCAAGGCCATCAGAAAAAAGGGGCATCACAATACAAAATAGTATCATTAAATGCTAATTTACAATCATAAATGAGCTAGAAAGTATACAATATGAACTCAAAGGATCCTAGGGCAAGGGGAGAGATGAGTGGGAGGGGACCAGGAGCCCTCCCTGGTTGTTCTAGTCAGGAGGGGACTCCAGGTTATAGCAAAATCCAGTGACAGGATATCTCCAGTGAGGCCTCCAATAGCCAGAACGAGGCCATGTTTGACAAGATAATCTCTAAATTCCCTTTAAACACTAAGATTCTAGGACCCAAGGTGGATGAGTAGCAAAAGGAAAACAGATACCCATAGATGGTCTTTTCTGACCTATTCCCTTATATTCTAAAATAATTAAATTGAGTTTACCTTCAGGAAGGCCTTACTATTAAGTCTACCTAGATCTCAGTGGTCATAGTGCCCCTCCTCAAATCTCCCCAACTGCTAACTGATATGATCAAATCTAAACTCCATGAGGTTGGGGACTGCTTCATTCTTGTCTCTGTATCCCCAAGGCCTATAACGGTGACTGGCATATAGTAGGTATTTAATAAATGCTTGTTGATTGAATGGAGTTCCTTTAAGAAGGTACAAATTTCACAATTAACAATGCTTCTGTTGATGTGACTGTTCTCTCTAAAGCAGGGCTTCTTAACCTAGGGTTCAAGAACTTGCTTTTCCTCATATTTTGATAACTTTCTTTCAATATAATTGGTTTCTGATCCAACCATTTTGTAGATTAATTCAGAACTATACCCAAAGAGCTATAAAATTGTGTATACCCTTTGACCCAGCAGTGCCTCAACTAGTCTGTATCTTAAAGAGATCAAAGAAAAGGGAAAAGGATCCATATGCACAAAAATACTGATAGCAGCTACTTTTGTGATTGCAAAGAATTGGAAATTGAGGGGATGTCCATCAATTAGAGAATGACTGGACAAGTTGTGGTATATATTGCAATGGAATACTATTGCACTATAAGAAATGACAAGTAGAATGTTTTCACAAAAAGCTGGGAAGAGGGGGCAGCTAGGTGGTGCAGTGGATAGAGCACCGGCCCTGAGGTCAGTAGTACCTGAGTTCAAATGCGGGCTCAGACCAAACACTTGACACTTACTAGCTGGGTGACCCTGGGCAAGTCACTTAACCCCAATTGCCTAAAAATCTAAAGGAAAAAAAGAAAAAAAAACCTGGGAAGATTTATATGAACTGATGCCAAGTGATGTGAACAGAACCAGGAGAACAATGTACACAGTAATAGTGATATTTCAACATAATCAATTATGAAAGGCATAGCTACTCAGATCAATATAATGATCCAAGACAATTCCAGAGACTCAAGATTAAAAGTTCTATCCACCTCCAGGAAGAAAACTGATGAATTCCAAGTGCAGATCAAAGCAAACTTTTTTTTTTACTTTCTTGTTCTTGCCTTTTCTTTTTCTTTTTCTTTTTTTTTTTTTGCAACATGGCTAGTATGGAATATATGTTTTGCAAAACTTCACATGTATAATTGATATCATATTGCTTGCTTTCTCAATGAGTGGGGGAGGGACTAGAGGGAAGGAGAGAATTTAGAACTTAAAATTTTAAAAATTAATGTTAAAATAAAGTATAATTATTAAAAATCAATACATTTCCTTTGTAATCTCATATATTTTATTTTAGACATCTAAAAACATTACCCTGAAAAGGAGTCCATTGGCTTCACTAGATGGCCCAAGAGGTCTGAGCACAAAGCTCTAGTCTAAAGAGTATTAAAGATAAGAGGCTTAAAATGAAGAAGTCTGGCTGTGATAACCTTATCTGATTAGATAATCAATCAACAACTGTAAATGACTGATTTCAGATCCTTTCCAATTTTGATTGCAAAAGAAAGTCTTAGAGAACAGAAACAGTGGCTCAGGTACTTGCTACCTGGGTGACAGTCAGTTTATCATCTATGAGAGAGAAGGAGAGAGAGAGAGAGAGAGAGAGAGAGAGAGAGAGAGAGAGAGAGAGAGAGAGAGAAAGGAGGAAGATAGAGTGAGAAGGACAGAGACAGAAAGAAAGACAAAGAGGAGAGACAGAGAGGGAAGGAGGGGGAAGCAGAGAGACAGAAAGAAGGGGGGCAGAAGAGAAGGAGAGAGGGGGTAAGACAGATAAAGAGAGGAGAGAAAGGGAAGAAGGGAGAGAGAGAAGAGAAAGAGAGAGAAAGGAGAGAAAAGAGAAAATGAAGGAGAGAGAGAGAAAAGAGATGGAGAAAAAGACAAAGAAGAGAGAGAGAGGGAAAGAGAGAGAAACAGAGAGAGAGACAAAGAGAAAAAGAAGGGGCAAAGAGAGAGAAAGGGAGAGAGAGAGAACTGAACTAAAAATCTGAGAGCTCTTCCCCATTCTACACCTTATGATCTATGGGCACTGGATTCCTAGAGGATAGGCTGAGTCACAAGGTGGGTTGGGAGAAGCACAAAATGGGGAGGTTGAGGATTCTAAAAACTTGGCCAACTTTACAAATATACCTAGAGTTGACTTTGTTTACCTTCTACTGTGTGCTTGCAAATAAGATTTTTTTTTTCTTATGATGGACTGTTTCACAAATTAGATCCATCCCTTATGCCTGGAATGCACTCCCTCCTCATCTCTGCCTCTTAGAATCCTTATCTTTCTAGGACATCCTCAGCTCAGCTCAGACATCACTTCTTCCCAGTGAAACTTTTTTTCCTTTCTTCCCCACCTTTCTCAATTGTCTGCTTTCTCAATTAATTTATATTTATCTATGTATATATTGCGTCCCCTAAAAGAACAGAAGTTACTTAAGGGCAAAGACTGCCCTTTTGGTTTTTTTGATTTTTTTTTAAATCTACACTTGTTATTTCCGATGCCCACTGACATCTCCTCAGTAACTAACTCAGGCTTTAAGAGATTCTCCCAGAGTGCTGAAAGGTTAAATGATGTGCCATCACCAAACAGCTGTGCACTTCACACCTCCTACCTCACCACATGGCTCACAGGAGGTGCTTAATAAATGCTTGATGAAGTGAATGTATTAATAACAGCAAGCAGGATTTCCTCCTGGTCAAAACATCCATCAAAACTCTACCAAAATTATGACTTCATTCTTCTCGCCCTGCAGCAAAAAAAAGGCTAGGGAACAGAGCATTCGGTTTGCTATGACCACTAAAGGGGTAGATCTATCAAAAATGTTTCCAAAAGAAACAAGGAAAATCAAAATAGGAATGTCTTATCAACTGATTGTTATTTTTCTCAGGTAACAAATGTCCCTCTTTCCTCTCTATCTCAAAGGCACCTGCACTTGGCCATCATTGTTATGACCCTCACACTGACGCTGTCCTGGTGACTGAGCTCTGATAGATGAGTTTCTGCCTTATCTAGCCTGGAACCAGGAAAAAAGACAGTGTACTACTGCATCCTGCCCTTCCAAACACACTCTCCTTTCTTCCTCCTCTTTATGTATCATCTTTCTCAACTAGATTGGAAAGTCCTTTTGGATACGGACTGTCTTGCTTGTTTTTATTTGTACCCTTAGAACTTAACACAGTACCTGACATCTACTAAGTGTTCTAGAAAGACAGACAGACAGAAAATGTTTTTCTTTCTTTCTTTCTTTCTTTCTTTCTTTCTTTCTTTCTTTCTTT